TAATAACATTATTATTGAAAGACGAAAAAAAAAAAAAAAATATATATATATATATATATATATATATATATATATATATATATATGATAAAATATAATTTAAAATAATTTTAAGGTATGCTATATTTAATGGCTAAAGTGCTTAATATTAGGGATAGAGGATATGTAGTTATAAAATGGACATTGAAGTCAAAACCTAGAGACAAATGTCTTTTTCATGCTAAACGCAATCGTCAGGTCTGACGATTGCGTTTTAGCATGAAGCAAGCTTTTACACACACACACACACACACATACACATACACATACACACATATATATATATATATATATATATATTATGATATGGACAAAGTCCGACAATTATTTTTAAGACATTTTAATGTTTATACATTCTTTTTATAGATAGAAATATTTAAGTAAATGCTCTGTTTTATAATAAACAGTATTAAACAACATTTACCGGCCTGAATGTCCGAGAAATTTTCACAGAAAATATTCGTCCTCCGTCAGGATTCGAACCTGTATTCTACACGGAACCGTCATTTAGCTTGACGTGACAGAAATCGGTGAAGGCACGTCAAGCTAAATGACGGTACCGTATAGGATACAGGTTCGATTCCTTTCGGAGGACGAATATTTTCTGTGAAAATTTCTCGGACATTCAGGCCGCTAAATGTTGTTTAATACTGTTTATTATAAAACAGAGCATTTACTTAAATATTTCTATCTATAAAAAGAATGTATAAACATAAAAATGTTTTAAAATATATATATATATATATTGCATAAGGCAAAAAAAAAAGAATCACCCATAGAAAGTCGATTTTTGTAATTTTACCAAGACGAATGAGTAATAGTGATTTTCCAAGCGTAGCTCAGATGTGGTACAACCCGAAAGTATGGGGTACCCAGCGAGGAAGACGAATGAGTAATAGAAGTCGTTTATTAATACAGGTGTACATATGTACATTAAAGTCAAAAAAAGATTTAGTATTTTGTTGCGCAAACTTTTGCTTTTATTTTGGCCTTAATTCTTCGTGGCATGCTATAGACTTAATTATTCAATAAGTCAATGTCTTTCGCCAGGTTTCTCCAGCATTCCTTTAATTCGCGAAAAAGCTCATCTTCTTTCCTAATACGGGCACGCCCAAAGTTTTGCAGTTGGGTTAATGTCAGTACTTTCTTACGAATTAAAGCAATACTCGAAAAATCTAGCGCTAACTTTAGTCTATAGCATGCCACCAAGAATTAAGGCCGTTACTAAAGCAAAAGGTTAACCAACAAAATACTAAATAATTTTTTGACTTGTATATTGTGCACATCTACACTATCCTGTATTAATAAACGAATCCTATTAGTTCTCTTGGTAAAAATACAAAAATCGACTTTCTATGGGTGCGTCCATTTTTTTCGCATCGTTATCATATATATATATATATATATATATATATATATATATATATGTATATATATATATATGTGTGTGTGTGTGTGTGTGTGTGTGTGCATACTTGTATTAGCGTGTCTGTTGGCGCGAATGTGCCATTATAAATGAATTAATGTTCATAGTTTCACCGAAGGAAGTTATATTTACGTGAATCTATTTAAAATTATTGCAAGAAAAAACAGTTTAGATTTCTAGATTAACTTTTCCATTTCATGTAGTTGCAGAATCAACAACTTTATAAACAAAGGAGATGAACCACTTCCTGTTTAAATCCTTCAACATGAGTCTTGGATGTAATTGGAGTGGCAAGAAACATTGCATAAAACAAATGACTTATGTGTCTACACTAGAGAGAAGTGTCAGGAGGTTTTAAAGAAATTACTTTTCATGTTACGATGTACGCAACCATGACAACTGAGATAAACAATCTTAAGAGAATAGAATTGTATAATAAAAAATGTCGTCTCATATTTCACTAAGAGTTAATCTGGTAAACCGTTGAAATGTGTTTGAATTTCAATAATCCTGTTCTATGCTAAAATAAATTAAAACTGTAAATAAAATTTTCTGGTGCAATTATATAATCTGTCCATATCGCTCGAGTTTTGAATTTCAAATTGAATTCATGGAATAATTCAATATATTTCCTGACACTCATTAGACTTATATCGGTTTGTATTTAATATTTTTTAAGAAAACGGCCAACTGGGACATGCAATGCTTTCTAAGCCTACCGCATTCCCGTACATTAGTCCTGGGTATGACGATAAACTACATCCGGCAGTAAGGCATCTGATCGGGAGATTGGAGATTTTGAGGAGTATGGAACGATCTCTTAGTTGCTGTTGTTACCAGAGTCACCCTGACCCGATGTGAAGCAACTGTTAGGGTCCTAGCTATAGACAAACAGTGAACCTCCAAATAAAACTCTATGAAAGAATAAAAAATACATTTTTATAGTAAAAATATTTTTATAGTAAAAATACTAGCAATACATTTTATATGAGACAGTAACATTTTCCGTGCATTGAATATTGCTGCTACATCTGCACTGCTGCTTCTGCTATGTATCGTTTAGAGGTTCTTGACAAAATCCAAAGAAGAATCTGCAATGTTATAGGTCCCTACTTGGCATCTCGGCTTCAATCCGTTTGCTACCAGCGTAACGTAGCTTCCCTATGTCTTTTCTATAAATATTTTCATGATAATTGTCCTGATGGACTTTCTTCTTTGGTATCTAAACTTGATTCCAGGCGCAGTACTAGATTGGCAGCTAGGTCTCATAATTTCATTGTTGAAATTGCTGGATGTAATTGTCAGTTATATTTTAATAGTTCCTTCTCTCGCAATTCTTGTCTGTGGAACACTTTTCCAAATTCTTGCTTTCCTGTCAACTACGATCATCAAAAATTTAAATGCAACATTATCTTTTGTTCATTTGAACTTTGTTCTTTTATTGTCTTTTCTCCCTAGTAACATTTTGTCAGTTTCTTCACTCTCAAAAAAATCTCTTGCGTCTTAGTGGCTATATTGCCTTGCTTTGAGTGAAATGATTTTTAAAAATGCAGTTTTAGCACACACAGGATAAAAATGAATTCCAAACAATGCCTTTAGATGTGTTCATCGAAACTTTTCATATGGAAGTCATGCAAGGCACCAAACAACTCTGTAGGTCTTGGTGCGGACCATCCGTTTTCGAATCTCATGCATTGGCGATACAGAATCACAAGGAACATAAAGCAACCTGAGGACTTTCAACAACAGCAACAATTAAAATAGACTTTAATATTTTACGAGTGTGTGCTCGTGCCGTCAAAAATGACTGCAACTGTGAGAAAGTTTTAATAACGAAGATGCAATGAAGCAAAAATCTTGAAGCAGTCTATTGAGATTCAATGAAGCGGAGATAAAGAATTCACAACTAAAATGGAGGCCAATGAATCATTTAATTAATCCGTTCCTTTTATATTTCTTAGACGTTCAATGGTATCTAGGATTCATTGATTAACTTCGTATTATATAAATTCCTTTTTACTTAATATCTTTTCACGTTAAAAATTTTATGTGTTTAATATAACAGTGAAATTGAAATATCTGTCGTTAGAAAAAAATTAGCAATAGTATAACAAAAAAACATGAGGAAAAGCATATTTCAAGACCAAGTTAATTCAAGACGATCATTTTCTAGACAAAGGTATTTGAGTACCTTACATGAAAGGCTTAATCTAAAAAACGTAGTAGAAAAGGAAGTGATTAATTAAATGGCTCGTTTTGCATGGGAACTAATTTTGTCTAAATGCAGATAATATTTTTATTTGTATAGATTATTGCAATGATTAAAGGAAGTAATCATACTTATTATAAAACCCAGGTTGTGTGTGTGTCTGTTCGTTTATATATTGGATCGGATTTCCTACATTTTTTAACCGATTGCAACAAAACTTCACAGGCCTACGTAAAATTACCTTGCAGTGGTTCTGACAGTGGCAAAATTTGGAAAAACACAATTGTTTTTGCACAAAATCAATTTGAAAACAGGATTAAGAGGCATCGCTATTGCCAGAATGAAAGGGGGACAACTCATATCGTGTTATACTTATTATACAACCCAGGTTGTGTGTGTGTGTTCGTTTATATATGGGATCGGATTTCCTACATTTTTCAACCGATTTCAACAAAACTTCACTTTTTTTTGGCATGTAGTGTTTCTTATTGTCTTGCACACTTTTTTCTTTATTTTTACATTCAGAATGCTTTAAAATTTCCATTTACAAGACAATTGTTTATAATAAAATTCTATTCGGTAGACTCATAACGATTGAAAACAATGTTTTTGTTTGAGTTTGGGTTTGACTAATTCGTAAAAAAAAAAACAAAAAACAAAAACAAAAAAAAAATAATTAAGACATGCGTGTCCGTCAACCTTAAACAATAATCTTTGTCAATTTTATTTTTCAGTCTTTATGATGGTCGATACTTGATCTATCTCTTACTGTTACACCCCGGGCAACGCCGGGCTCTACTGCTAGTAAAAACAAGTTTGATCAGCCTTCTATGCATCCATAGATGCAAGAGTTAGAGTTAATTTATATGATCTGATATCGTCTTTGACCTTTCATCGTGTACATGTTCTGGGTTATTTAATATTTCCGGTAAATAATGAAGGAATTCCAACTGATGATGGAAAAAAAACTTATGATAGCAGTTGTAAAATATGTGTAGAACGTAAGGCTTTGAATGAATATCTAAACTGGTAAACAATATCCAGTTCTACAGAATGTTTTTGCTTTCTTTTAATTTCTGTAACGACTAAAATCTTCTATTTTTTAAAATTCTCTTCTATTCAACATTTCTTTGGAAACTGATTTGTAGACATAGTTTTTTCTTATGACACATATCAACTCAAAAATAAGAGGAAATATTTTATAGTAGCCATTTCTATTTCGCTTAAATTTTCTTCTAACTACCAGGGAAAAGTTTTATACTCTTTATTCTAATGTAACAGGTGGGTTCAATTTTCATCGGCTGGTAAATTGGTTTTATTTTCACCAATGCCAGAATACCTCACACTCTCTCTCTCTCTCTCTCTTTCTCTCTTTCTCTCTCACTCTCTTTCTCTCTCACATTCACTCTCTCTCTCTCTCTCTTTCTCTCTCTCTCTATGTTGTTTCCAATTAGTATAGGAATAACTGTAAAAAAACATAACTCTGCCCACATTTATAAACAAAACTTACAGATGCATGCTGGGATTTTTCCCTAGCCAATAACATAGGCAACTTTTCCTGTTCTTGAAATCAGAACGCTGCGATCGCTTGTCTGTATCCGCTTTTGTGTGTTAACACGATTCTTGTTCTTGTAACGGCATTCACCCGAGGTAGGTTGAGCCGGCTCCAATATTGGAGTTTCATGGGAATTTGGAATTCACAAGCGGTCCCCAACCCGCATGTATAGCACATGAAATTTGATTATAGTGGTGAAGGTTTCGTGCAGGACCATCCACACTTTTTGAAGGGCTGATTATAGAGACCTGATGCACCGAGTGCCACAGGGTCCCCAAACGACCCTCCGCAGGTTTTGAATTCAGAGTTTTCATTCTCCTAGACCAGTTGCCATCCAAGGCTATAGAACCCAGTCTGTCCTGCTATTTACCCATAGCTGGAGGGAGAAGAGGATACACACCTTTCCCAAGGCTATTAGCACGTAAGTGAATGTAATAGATTCGGCTGGAATTCGAACTCGGCTCTCCGATTCCTCAATCCAAGCCGCTATCCATTACTCCACCGTGCCTCCAATTGTTAACACGATTCTGAGTTTGTGAACTTTTTGTCTTATTATTCTTGCGTTGTCTACTTTTTTTTTTAAGCGTTTCACCCCAAGCAAGGCGGGAAGCCACTAGCACGCAAGGGATTACCGAGAGTTGGAGCGAGAGCAAATAGGAGTGATAGAGGAAAGGATGAAGATAAGGTTAGGGGATAGATCAAGGCATCTGGAGACGTCGATTGACATTATATTTGAATAGTTGGAGATTATAGCTTATCAGTGAAACGGGAAAAGGGGAGGGAGTTCCACATGCGAGAAGTGCGAGACATGACGCTATTGGAGTAGAAGAGACGGCTACATTTAACAATTTCGACAGTGAAAGGCTGTGAGCGAGATGCCAGCCTAGTAGAACGCTTAAATTCATGAAGCCTGGGAACCAGCGAAAGCAGCTCATCGGAGCAGTTACCGTGAAAGTATTTGAAAAGAAGACAGAGGGTGGCGACGGCACGTCTGTGAGAGAGTGACTGCAGACGAGATGCCACATTAGGGCCAAATACATTGCATATCCGTCTCTTTTTGTATTGCATATGCTGTTCGCTTAATATTATTTTTGCCCTGTTCTCTTCCTTAGTCTCTTGTTGTTTATTGCAAACTTTGTCAATTCTGTTTGGCATTTCCGTCAATTACATGTAACCAAGGCCAATTACTTTTCGCTCTCTGACAAAATCCTTTTTATAAAACCAAGTTAAATATTAGTTTTTCCAAGTGTTCTACAAGTAGTTTGAACTAATTATTTCAGTAGAAGCATTTCACAGCATGAAACCGTTGTCCAAGTTTCTATGAGGTCCTAGTTAGGTAAACAATTGTTTACGAATTGAATTTGCCACACAAAACGAGATTAAGCGGTGATGTAGTTTTCCACGTTCCAAAAACGAATGTGAACTCTGTCGGCCACTCAGCCTAATGAGCCGTATAACACAACTTATCATGTGAATTCTGAGACATTGACTTTGTAGCAGAACTATACTCGAAATAGGACAAGAATTGTGCGGGTTTGTTAAAGACACTGGATCAAGGAATGAGATATTTATGCTCAAAATGTTATCAGAAAGAACAATACAAATGCAGAAGGACGTGTAGCGGTATTTTATAGATTATGTGAAAGCATTTGACAAAGAACGCCACAAAGAACAGTTGGAACTGCTCGTTAACCTCAACATGTTTGGGGATAATCCAGAACCTAAACTAATAGCAAAGTAATGCACACGGATAGAAAATGAATTCAGTAAATATACAAAAATAGAAATGGGCATCAGACAAGGAAGTGTCTACTCAATGGATTCATTCATCCTATACAGTGAGACGATTCTGCGAGAACTAGAAGTCCTACCAGGATTCATTATTGGCGACCACAATCTTAACAACATAAGATATGCAGATGACACAGTGTTGATAAAAGACGCGGTAAAAAAAAATATCTACATGAACTCCTACGGAAGGTAGTGAAGGAAAGCGCGATGAAAAGACTAACATCAATTAAAAATAGAATGTATTGTTGTCAATCCAAGGAACAGGTCAACATGGAAATTACAAACGGGAGTCGTCAATACGAAACAAGTGCAACAATTGAAATGTCCGGCAACTGTTTAACATAGGACGGAATTGGTGACACTAAAATCCAAAGGCGCATTTTGATAGCAAAATATGCCTTTCAAAAGCTAAGCAAAATATTAAGAAGCAGAAAAAAAATGAAAAATGAAACAAAGAAAAGCATACTGAACTCTTAAATAATATCAGTTGCCATATATCACAGCAAAAGCAGGACAATCTCAGCATAGAAGAAGAGACTTGAAGCAACAAAAATATGAATCTAAAGAAGGATGCTGAGGAGACTTGTGACCGAACACGTGAGCAACGACGAAGTTTTAGAGAAAATGTTAGGAAAAATGGATCTTAACATCAGGAAGAAAGACTTGAGATTTCTAGGCGAGGAAATAAGGCCTGTAAAATTTGATACTCCCATGACATTTCGAAGGCAAGAGGGACAAGATTGTGTAAATATTTGGCAAAACAGGGATTAGGGGAGATAGAAAAATAAGAGAAATATTACTTACGGTAATAAAGGATAGGAAATTGTGGAGAGCCACGTTCTGAAGAGAGATAAAATCCACCCACAGGACAAAAAGAAGGAACAGGGGACAGATGAAAACAACCTACCTAGCGATTTTGGGTAAATGAACAAGTGAAAATGTTTAGGACAGATAGCAAAAACACAAAAATTACTAAGAGCTACAAAGGACAGGAAATTGTGGATAGACATGATCGCCAACGTCTTGAAAGTACACGATACACAGAAGAATGTCGTGTAGAATCCCCTAAGAAGTATAGAGATACAGCATCAATAGACTAGGGTTTTCTACTGTAGGTTCAGGAGCAAGTAGGTTTCAGCTGGGTGGAGTTGATATTCCCACGACAAACCGGTTTTGAATTCAGTTTCCTTTTTTAGTAAAATGGTTGGCACTCTAAACAAGTAATTCCTGTCTCCTTGTTATTTAACCCTTAGCTGGAGGGACAGAATAGATGGTTTTAAATTTATTAAGAACTACAAAAGATAGGAAATTCTGGAGAGCTACGTATTGAAAGTACACAGCACAAAAAAGAAGTAAAGAGATGATAAATATCATTGCCTCAGAATTGAATGCCTAAATATTATCATGTTTTCATTGGATGGCAGTTATCTTTCAATTTATATTTTCTATCAGTCCTCTTACGATTCCTCCAAACCTCCAATTTAATTCATCCATCTTCTTTTGCTTTCTTTTCTTTATTGATTTTTCTTCCCCCATTCTCTTTGCATTCGTCCAAAACTTATATTCACTCGTTTTCATTTCATTTCTCGTCCACTTCCTCCAACATCTCGTTTTCTTCTTTTCCCTGCATCTAGCACACCATGTTTTCAGGTTTTCTTTCCTGTTCACATTTCTTTTTTCCTTTCACTTCGTACAACACCTCAGGTTCACATTTCTTCTTTCCATTGAATTCCCCCAACACCTCACGTTCACATTTCTTCTTTCCTTTCAATTCCCCCAACACCTCACGTTCAATTTTCTTTTTCCTTTCAATTCCCCCAACACCTCACGTTCACATTCCTTCTTTCGTTTCAATTCCTCCAACACCTCACGTTCACATTTCTTCTTTCCTTTAAATTCCTCCAACACCTCACGTTCACATTTCTTCTTTCCTTTCAATTCCCCCAACACCTCACGTACAATTTTCTTTTTTTCTTTCAATACCCCCAACACCTCACGTTCACATTTCTTCTTTCATTTCACTTACTTCAACACCTCACGTTCACATTTCTTCTTTCCTTTCAATTCCCCCAACACCTCACGTTCAATTTTCTTTTTTTCTTTCAATTCCCCAACACCTCACGTTCAATTTCTTCTTTCCTTTTCCTCCAACGCCTTTCATTTTTTCTTTCCTTTCAATTCCCCCAACACCTCACGTTCAATTTTCTTTTTTCCTTTCAATTCCCCCAACGCCTCACGTTCACATTTCTTCTTTCCTTTCAATTCCCCCAACACCTTTTCACGTTCAATTCATTTCTTCTTTCTTTTTCATTTCAATTCCTCCAACACTTCTTTCGTTCCCCCAACACCTCTTCTTTTCTTTTTTTCAATTCCCCCAACACCTCACGTTCACATTTTTTCTTTTTTCTTTTCCTCCAACGCCTCACCCCCAATTCCTCCAACCCTCACGTTCAATTTTCTTTTTCCTTTCTTTCCCTAACATTTCACTTTCTTCTTTCCCTTTCAATTCCTCCACCTCACGTTCACATTTCTTCTTTCCTTTCAATTCCTCCAACACCTCACGTTCAATTTTTCTTTTTTTCGTTCAATTTTCTTCTTTCAATTCCCCCCAACACCTCACGTTCAATTTTCTTCTTTCCTTTCAATTCCTCCAACGCCTCACGTTCACATTTCTTCTTTCCTTTCAATTCCTCCAACACCTCACGTTCAATTTTCTTTTTTCCTTTCAATTCCCCTAACACCTCACGTTCACATTTCTTCTTTCCTTTCAATTCCTCCAACACCTCACGTTCACATTTCTTCTTTCCTTTCAATTCCTCCAACACCTCACGTTCACTTCTTTCCTTTCAATTTCAACACCTCTTTTTTCTTTCCTTTCAATTTCTTCTTTCATTTCCCTTCAACACCTCACGTTCAATTTTCTTCTTTCCTTTCAATTCCCCCAACCTCACCTTCAATTTTCTTTTTTTTCTTTCAATTCACCCAACACCTTTCAATTTCCTTTCAATTCCCAACGCCTCACGTTCACATTTCTTCTTTCCTTTCAATTCCTCCAACACCTCACGTTCAATTTTCTTTTTTCCTTTCAATTCCCCCAACACCTCACGTTCACATTTCTTCTTTCCTTTCAATTCCTCCAACACCTCACGTTCACATTTCTTCTTTCCTTTCAATTCCTCCAACACCTCACGTTCACATTTCTTCTTTCCTTTCAATTCCCCAACACCTTTCAATTTTCCCCTTTCCTTTCAATTCCTTCACCACCTCACGTTCATTTCTTCTTTCCTTTCAATTCCCCAACACCTCGTTCAATTTTCTTCTTTGCTTTCAATTCCCCAACACCTCACGTTCAATTTTTCTTTCTTTCCTTTCAATCACATTTCCCCTTTCAATTCCTCCAACACCTCACGTTCACATTTCTTCTTTCCTTTCAATTCCCCCAACACCTCACGTTCAATTTTCTTCTTTCCTTTCAATTCCCCCAACACCTCACGTTCACTTTTCTTCTTTCCATTCACTTCCTCCAATACCTGACATTCTCTCTTCTTATCATTCTCCCATTTGTTTCGTTGTTTTTTACTCCATTCTCTTTTAGTTCCTGCAAAATCTTTTCTTTTTTCCTCGATTGATTTTCTTTACTTCCAAAGCCTCATCTTTTCTATTCTTTTCCACACCCCAATTCCCCCAGGACCATTCAGTCAATCGAACTATTCCCCTCTCTTTACAAAAGCTCCGCACTTATCTAATCCGTCAGCTGCTGAAATATTTGTTCACCTTTTCATACTTAAACATTTCAATGTACTTTTGAATCTTTCGCGTCCTTCAAAGAATTACGAACGGAATTTTGCACGTGAAACGTACACTCCGATTGCTTCGTATACGAAAGATAAAATAAATAAGTACTTTCAAATTTATAATGTATCGAGGGTGGCCATTTAAGGAGAAAGGACATTCGAAATTGTCCGTGTGTCTATAATTCTTATTAAAAGCAACAACAATAATAAAGCATTAATTCCAATAAAGAGCTTTTCCTCAAATCTATAACCGATTAATACGTATAAAAATTATATAAACATATATTTATTATTTAACATACATTAAATACACTGAGTATTCACCGTAATGCATCTGACCGCAATTTTCGACTTAATAAATAAATGCAAGAGAATCGGATTTAATAAGAAAAAATGCATTGAAACTAATTTAATCTCACATTTCTGGAGAATAAATCTAAGACAAGGACCATATATAATATAGGAACTTCGACGTCGAGTAATGGTTAACAAACTTGTCTCGTTATAAAATTACGATTGGCTAGTGAGTTCGATTCTCATTGGGTTCCCCATACTTTTGGCCTTGTGCCACATATAAGCTACACTTAGAAAATCACCATAATATCACCGATCATCGAAAAAGTTACATTAGCACAATGTGGTATACTGTGCTAATAAAGAAAATCAGAGAGTGGAATGAGATGATTTAAAATCCAACAGACACCAATGACTCCAATATATATATTTATGTGTGTATGCGTTTAACAAACAAAAGGCAAACATGTTTTGGTCTCTGATCGTTGAGTCTGATAATGTAAATTAATCTAATGCCCCTTTTATCCCCATAAATCCTAATCCACATCACCCCACTTTAAAAGCTTGTACTCTTTGTCTCATCATCTCTATGGAAAACTATGTATATTTATATAAATTATACAAGCATATAGGAAACATTTCAATAGATTGCTTCTAACCAACCAATATTGGTAAAATTCACTGAATATGCTTATATTCATAAGATAAATACAATATCTTTTTCTTATTTTATACAAATTTGTTTTTGAATTCAGAGTGGTCCTTCTTCAAGAATAGCCGTCATCCAAAGCAATGTTGTTATTTTATCCAAGTTTTTTTTTTCAGATATATTCATGATTTTTGGAACCGTACGAGTACGAAATCGAACCGTACAGACTGAATGATAATTTAAACTCAGGTCGATTCGATTAAACTTACATAATACCTTCTTCTTTTCTCCATATTCCATAAACATTTTATATTCATTCGCTTTTTATTTCCTCCACTCTTTTTCCATTCCTTCAAAATTTCATATTCTCTCTTTTCTCCTTCCTCCATTCTTTTCCCATACCTCCAACATATCATATTGTACCCTGTTTCTTGCTTCCCTTCTTCTTCTATTCCTTCAATACACCATATACTCTCTTCTTTTTCTTTCTCTCATCCTTCCAACATTGCATATTCTCGCTTTTTTTATTCCTCATTTTAATTTGACTTTCTGCCGTATCTCATAGTCTCTATTTTTCCTCCATTCTCTTTTCCTTCCTCCAAACTTTTTTATTGTCTTTTTCTTCCATTCCGCCAACATATCTTATTTTCACTTTATTCTTTTCCTCATTCTCTTAATATTCCTCCATCTCTTATTCTCTCTTTATTCTTTTCCACATTCTCTTAATACTCCACCAGCATCTCTTATTGTTTCTTTATTCTTTTCCTCATTCTCTAAATATTCCTCCAACATCTCTTATTGTCTCTTTATTCTTTTCTTCATTCTCTTAATATTCCTCCAACATCTCTTATTGTCTCTTTATTCTTTTCTTCATTCTCTTAATATTCCTCCAACATCTCTTATTGTCTCTTTATTATTTTCCTCATTATCTTAATATTCCTCCATCTCTTATTGTCTCTTTATTCTTTTCTTCATTCTCTTAATATTCCTCCAACATCTCTTATTGTCTCTTTATTATTTTCCTCATTATCTTAATATTCCTCCATCTCTTATTGTCTCTTTATTCTTTTCCTAATTCTCTTAATATTCCTCCAACATCTCTTATTGACTCTTTATTCTTTTCTTCATTCTCTTAATATTCCTCCAACATCTCTTATTGTCTCTTTATTATTTTCCTCATTATCTTAATTTCTTCTTATTGTCTTTTATTCTTTTCATCGTTCTTTTAATATTCCTCCAACATCTCTTATTGTCTCTTTATTCTTTTCCTCATTCTTATTCCTCCAACATCTCTTATTGTCTCTTTATTATTTTCTCCATTATCTTAATATTCTCCATCTCTTATTGTCTCTTTATTCTTTTCCTAATTCTCTTAATATTCCTCCAACATCTCTTATTGACTTTTATTCTTTTCTTCATTCTCTTAATATTCCTCCAACATCTCTCTTTATTATTTTCCTCATTATCTTAATATTCCTCCATCTCAACATCTCTTATTGTCTCTTTATTCTTTTCCTCATTCTCTTAATATTCCTCCAACATCTCTTATTGTCTCTTTATTCTTTTCCTCATTCTCTTAATATTCCTCCAACATCTCTTATTGTCTCTTTATTCTTTTCCTCATTCTCTTAATATTCCTCCAACATCTCTTATTGTCTCTTTATTCTTTTCATCATTCTCTTAATATTTCTCTCATCTCTTATTGTTCTTTATTCTTTTTTCATTCTCTTAATATTCCTCCAACATCTCTTATTGTCTCTTTATTCTTTTCCTCATTCTCTTTAATCCTTCAACATCTCTTATTGTCTCTTTATTCTTTTCCTCATTCTCTTAATATTCCTCCAACATATCTTCTTGTTTCTTTTTTTCATTCTCTTAATATTCCTCCAACATCTCTTATTGTCTCTTTATTCTTTTCCTCATTCTCTTAATATTCCTCCAACATCTCATCTCCCTTTTCTTTCCTATCTTTCTCAGATTTCTCATCATTTCACTTTACATTTCTTCTCCGTTTCCCCCAATTTTTTTCCTTTCTATTCCATACTTTTTTATATTCATTTTCATTTCTCCAACTCCTCATCTTCCCTTATTTTCCTTTCTTTCCATCATTCTCTAACTTTTCCTCCCAAACTTCATTTTGTCTCTTTTATCTCCTTTTCTCCCTTATCTTCTAGTCTCTTCTAATCAATTATATTCTACTTTTTTCTATTTTATTCCTATCCTCTTCCCCTTTCTCCAACACATCCTCTTCTGCTTTTATTGCCCTATTCATTTTCTTTTACCTCGAACACCTTATCATCACCAAACTTTCTTTCCGTATTCTTTTCATTTTTCCTCTAAAATCACTTTCTTTTCTGTTTTAAGGATCGTAGATAGTCAGTTCAGTTTGATTTTTACTGAATGCCTATCTGTGGCTTTAATGAGCTACTCAAGGCTTACTTTACTAATATAGTTTTTAATTCACGCCGGAGTCTGAGTAGTGTTTATTTTCAATAATGAACGCTTGTTTTAAGAGGAATTCATCTGTGTTGACCCAAGCATATGCTGGCATCACCACTGGAGATACCGAACTGCGGTTTGTGACTCGGTGTCACAAAAGTCCGTCACAATACCCAAGTGTATCAGAATGTTGACCTGTAGAGTGACATCATAGGTGCAAAATCGGGTTTCAAAATGTCAGTGGCTGCTCCGACATGTAGCTTAAGATATGCACACTCGGGACAATTAGATAACAGGAAATTA